TAATTAAATAAATAAATAAATAAATAAATAAATAAATAAATAAATAAATAAATAAATAAATAAATAAATAAATTTGTGTACTTAATTTTAAATGCAAATTGTGTAGGTTAAAAAAAGTATTTATAATATATACATATATATTTATGCATACCAATGAGTCCAGTGACAACACAAAGAAGAATGCATCCATTTATAGAACACAATTAATCGTAGAAGTCTTTCGTGATTAATGTGGCTATATATGCAGCTGTATCTGAAACAATAGAAATGCACCATACATCTTTATTTATATACTTAGATTAATGTGCGTTTGTGTTTCTGCAAGTCACATTGCAGAGAAGAAATTATTACACACACATACACACACACACACACACTCACACACACACACATGCACACAGAATGGTTGTGTTAATATGACAGCAGGTCCTCCTGTAAATGCTGCAGATTGACGCTCAGTGTGTGATTGGCAGAAATATGCGGGTCTGTGAAAACTGCATCCTGATTAATGCAAGCAACACACATGCACACTATGCACAATATTACTGTAAAGAGAAATCTTTACAGAATATGCATAAATACAAAAGCCTGGTCATAACTGCAATTTCATTTAAAATTTATGGTCATATTTAATATAACATACTTTTATTTGTTTGTTTGTTTGTTCATTCGTTCGTTCGTTCATTCATTTATTATTTATTTATTTATTTATTTATTTATTTATTTATTTATTTATTTATTTATTTATTTACTTATTTATGCATTTTAAAAATGCTATCAGCTTATTTAGATGTAAACACAGTTCTGTAATTTTTTATTTTATTTTTACTTTCATTAGTTTAAATAGATTGCCTCATTAGTATTAGTATTATAAGGTCATTACCATTTTTAATTAAACACTTAAGGTTTTATGTTTTTATAATTTTATGTTATTATTTTATGTTTTTTTTTGCATTTTAATAAAACAATGAGCTTGTTTAGAGGTAAATAAATTAATTCTATAATACACAATTCTATATTTTTATATACTATTATTATATAATTTGTTTGCTATTATTAATAATAACAACAACAACAACAACAACAACAATAATTATTACTATTATTATTATTATTATTATTATTATTATTATTATTACTATTATTATTATTATTATTATTATTATTGTTATTATTATTACTAATATTATTATTATTATTATTATTATTATTATTATTATTGTTATTATTATTACTACTACTATTATTATTATTATTTTTTTTTCATTGTTGTTATTATTATTATTATTATTATTATTATTATTAGTAGTAGTAGTAGTAGTAGTAGTAGTAGTAGTAGTAGTACTATTATTATTATCATTAATATTAGAGGGATTTTTGAAAGATTGAATGATCATGTGACTGAAGACTGGTGCAATGAAGCTAAAATTCATATTTAAATCACTGGAATAAATTATTAAACTAAGTTATAAACTACTTTTGAACTGTTATTTTATAATGCAATATTATTTAACAATTCACAATGTGTACTGCACCATCGATGAAATAAATGCAGCCTTGGTGAGCAGGAGAAGCTTATTTCAAAACATTTTAAAAATCCTGCTGACCTAAAACTTTTGACCGGTAGTGTATATAATAAATTAATATTTATAATGTTGTCATAATTACAATTATTTTAAATTAATTATATTAGTGGTATCACATTTATACTAAAGTTAGTTAAATTAACAGCAAGAAAATCTTTATTAATATAAGCTGATATTAAACTTAGCATTTATTATGTCTATTTATAAATCAAAAGTTGCTCGTTAACAGAAGGTAATGCATGCAGCTTATTTACAAAAACAAAATAACAAACAGCTATTGACTCATTGCTAATTCAATGCATTGACTAATGTTTAAATGCATGTGCTAATTCTCCTTTAAATGCATGATCTCGTTACACTATTGAGGATGCGCACTTTTCACATTATGGTAATTACAGCTATGGAAGTGTACTTATCAAGAATATAAAAATTCAAATCATGTTTCTCTTTGAAGAAATCCCAGATGGGAGGGTTTGCTCACTTCTGAGGACACTTTGTGCACAGAAAGCTCAGCTAAATCAGCTCTGTCTCTCTGTGGCTCTTCAAACACACACTTTATGACAGCGTGGAGTCAGGACTCAGTCTCTGGAGGCATGAAAAGCGTGACGTGTGTGTATGTGTGTGTGTGTGTGTGTCTGCTGGGACTTCACTGTGTGTCTGGGGTCTCGCAGCAGACAAATGAACAGTGAGAGGGACCGAAATGTCCTCATAGCGCCGCCTCGGCTGTATGTATCTGTATTTTGAACACAGCAGATCTGCAGCACTCAATATCAAGCTGAAGACGCATTACAGCTGCAGTCAAATCACCTCTACCGAAGAAGAGACAGCTCATGCAAATATGAACATAACATGCCCATGTGTGTTTGTGTGTGTGTGTTTGTTTTTATCATGTTGTTTGTATAAAGCAAATAGGCTGAATTCATTACTGTTGTAAAGCAGAATGTTTAAATGTGACAGAGAACAGTTGATTAAGTTACTAAATGTTGTTTAACTTTTTGTTAAAACACTAACAGCGTTGACGATAACAAAGTTGACGATATCAGTTGACAGTAACAGAGTTGACAATAACAAAGTTGACGATATCAGAGTTGACGATATCAGAGTTGACGATAACAGAGTTGACGATAACAGAGTTGACGATATCAGAGTTGACGATATCAGAGTTGACGATATCAGAGTTGACGATATCAGAGTTGACGATAACAGAGTTGACAATAACAGAGTTGACGATAACAGAGTTGACGATATCAGAGTTGACGATAACAGAGTTGACGATATCAGAGTTGACGATAACAGAGTTGATGATAACAGAGTTGACGATATCAGAGTTGACGATATCAGAGTTGACGATAACAGAGTTGACGATATCAGAGTTGACGATAACAGAGTTGACGATATCAGAGTTGACGATAACAGAGTTG